TGTCGATACGGGCAAAGCTCATCCCTCATTCCTGCAAAATCCTTAGGCTCACTCTAAGTCACAAAGACTGGCCAGCTCAATCCCACATGCTATATATACCCGAAAAAGAAAAATATTTTCATACAGATAGATACAGAATGGTTTGATTAATTCAATTAAATTCTGGTGAGCCTGTTTAGATTTGTGTGGATTAAGGCCTGTACTCAATACCAGCTACAACTCAGAGTAGTTACAAAATGGCCTAATGTCATCAAGACTTAATGAGCCAAGGTAAATCACGACTGAGATTGCGTTCATCTGTACGTAACTCCTGTTCGTAAGATGTAAGCCTGTAGGCGTAAAAGTCAGGTTACGCAACCTCTAGTCAGAATGCGTAAGTCTGAGGTAATTGAGGCTTAACGACCCGAGGGAAAAAGGTCTGGGATTGCGTAATCTCGATGAGTTCGACTTTCCTGTGAAATGAGTGCGAATTTAGTTGCAACCATGACTGAGCTGTCAAGTTGACTTGCCCTTTTTTGCATGACATTTCAACAGCCTCTATCTTCTTCAAAATATCAACTTTCTAACAGCCTTCCTAACATGCAACGTATTTCCAAATCTATTAATTTCAATAGCCTTTCTTATCTTCCGTTTAACATCAGACGTACCATAATCATTAGACCTACTCGCTCGAGACCATTTTAGCCCGTGTCTAATCTCTGCTGCGTTTGGCTTCATCTGACTGTTGGACCCAGCTCTTTTTACAAGCATTTTTGCGTTCCGCCGATCTATAGAGGATCCGACGACAGGTTTTACCAGCAGAAGATCAACCACAGAAGCACAATAACATAAAACGGCCGGATCTTGATAACGGTTCATATTTATTTTTAAAAGAAGGCATAACCAAATACAGTGTCAGGGTTTCCTGGAAAGATGTATCTATCCCCTCTTCCTCCCTAGTTCGCCTATCCTCGTAGAAATCAGTCATAACACTACGGTTAGGACCAAATAGTGTTCCTCTGAAAATTTATTTCTCATTAAAGAAATATTATTAACAGTTAAGCAGGAATGACTGTTTCAGTCTTCCTAACTCTTCAATCATACGATTTTTATCCGCAAACTTTATACTTCCAATAGCCATTTAACTGCACTAACAACTTCTTGACTCGTCAGTTTGAGTATGCTCGTAAAGATGAGACCCTGCTCTAATGACGTCTGTAATACAACGAAAGCTTACCATGTTCTCACCGGAATCAAGAGGTTGCCTTGGAAACAGCGTCAACAAAAAATGTTCCATTAAAGCCAATCAGAATGCGCCGCCGCCTTCTGGTAGGATCGACCTTCGAATATCTTCATCAACCATTTTAACTTGAAATGGAAGTAAGCTTAACAATTATAAAACCTGGCCTAGGCTTAACTGCAGCTTATGATTGCGATTCATGAGACGAAGTTGAAGACGAAAGGTAAAGTCGTATTCTCCTCTCAATTATTTGTGGCAAGAATGCCTGTTGGTTATTCCAATAACATAAGTGAGATTCTTTATATAAGCGATATGGTATACACTGGAGAAATATTATTCAGAGTGGTCATAAAGAAGCAAGATCGAAATCACTGTCCCTCTTAAACTGTTCGGGTACATAGAACGAAATAGTGAAATGAATGTAAATAAATTAGAGTTGGCATGTTGTATATTTTTTTCCTAAGAACATATTGAAATGTTGCATTTTTTACTCAAAAAAGGGTTAATTTGAGCATTCTTCCAACAGCAATGCCTCTTTGACAGTTACTAAAAGTCATTTTGATAAAGGCTGCCAAAATCTAGACTCTACCGACATATATGCCTATTATGCTGACTACAATAGACCTTGATCCGATTTGTTGTTAAGTTCTTAAGTGAAAGTAAATATTTTGAATTTTCATACGATACTTGAAAAAAAATCTACAAAGGCAGTCCTAGGAATCCTTGGCACTGAATTCAGTTCAGAAACAGAGAAAATATTGGGAAAAACAGCAACCATTGTAGTTTGGAGTTTTTAGTAGGACTTAATACATACTCAGAAATTTTTCCATAAGTAGCGATTTAATTAACTCTTTCGTAAGTAGTCTCTATTTCATAATGATGTGCTGGTGAGATAAATGATACTTTTATGTATGCACATTGTTTTGAGATGTACTAAAAGAACCCATTATATAAGAAGATGCTAGATAAAAAACCTTTGCATTAATGCCATTTATCCCAAGGTTAAATGCTTTCGTTTTATCGTCCAGTTAGTAACGATGACTACGCATGGCAAATGGCTTTTACCGAGGAGAACCTTCAATTACTCTTTGAACAATACTCACTGGAAAGTGATATCAGATCTCTCTTGTGAGGACGACTGCTATTATATCTTTTTAAAATATTCTCTCTTAAGAACATGTGAACTAGAAGGTATGATTAAATAAATAAAATGACCATATCATAATCATAAAGAATATCAGAAATGAGAGCAAGACGTTCTGCCTTCCTTCAGCTTATTCTGGCTCGAGGTACCTTAGTATTACTTAAATGTAATTAGTTAAATAAAACATTTTGTTCAAGTTCAAATCGACTTTCCTATGGCCTTTATACAGAGGTATTTTCTATCAGAAGTCACTATCATAAAGCCTAAACTACATTAGAATTAATATGCATGTTCAGTTCTATATTTATTTTGGCGCAACTTGATGCAATTACAGATAAAATTAATTATATGAAACTGGTAAAGAAACAATTATTTAGCTCTAAAAGTATGCAACCTCGAATTATGTTAGAAAAATAATATTTATTCTATAACAAAATTATTAAACATTACGAACACACTTTTTTAAAATTAGGTTTTAAATTCAGCTTATGAAAAAGGTTTGAATTATCTTTTAGACATTTTGAACTATGGGCATAGGAACATACGAAAAAGAATCCACAGATTCAGTTAGATGCAATTTACTTTAATACTAATTAAAAAAGCATAAGTATAAAAATCATAAAAAATCGTAAGCCTAATTTAGTTTTTCT